TTCCTTCTTTTACGGTAAGTTCTTTTAACATTATGCATCGTATTATATCGATTTTCGATTTATGATATATTCTGCGAATCTTTTACAGTTTGTTGTGACGAGGATGTTGGAAGCGTGTCAACATACGTAGTCGCGAAACGAAGTAATTTGACACACTGGCATCCTGTATTAGGCTGGTTTGCACAGACGATCGATACTCGTTGCAGGACGCGACTCCTTCAGTAAAATTACAACTGGCCTGTCTCTGGACCGGCAGGATCGTTACACATTTAATCGGTGAGTTATTAATTTCGGAGCTTCAGTATTTTCATTACAATTATTTAAATTCATATGCAGGATTCGAATGAACAGAAATTATTAATTATATTATTTCATACAGCATGTAACATATTTATCTATTTGATCTCTGTTACTACAATTATTGCATTACATAAATATTATTATATTATCTAATGTATTATGTGATTTTTATTTATATTGTTCTCTATCTATTTTTTTCTACTCTCTCTCTCTCTCTCAGAACAGCCACTGACTGAATTCGTCGAGAAAGAGTGCCGCCTCCGTAGAGCAGCAAAGTACCTCTTCCCTGGGCGCAAATATCTTTCGACGTGCATTCCTGGAGGCTCGTACCAACAGAAACAACAGTACTAAAAATTATAGGAAGCTAGGCAGTCCGGACGCCACTAAGATAGCCTTGATCTGTTCGTTGTATCAAACTGCGTTGCACACGCTCACGCAAATGAAAATTGAAATACTAACCGGTATATGTTATAAATCAATTGCATACAATTGCATTTGCGAATTACATTTTGACTGATGGTGTATATGTGCGTGAAAACAGGACTCTGCTACCAAGGCAAAATTCTCTACCACATGTGGTTATTTCTGACTACATTGGGACCGCACTGTGGACTCAAGGCATTTCTAGACCTCCTGGCTGCCAATACTAAGTGCACGGCGCCCGAATTCCAGATGTTGATATTGTTCGCCGATTGTATGACGCATTACGTTACGTAAGTGAATTGCGACAATGAAACTTATAGAAAACGTTATTCTTTCGATTTCTTCGATTTCAGCATTCTCGATGACATGGAGATGTACGAGCAGCAAGATCCCTTCAAGCTCACGGACTTTATCACCATGTCGTACTTTTTAAATCAATTCTTGTACAAAGCAGTTCTCACTAATTTATTCGGTAAGATTTCTATTATTTCTAAATCAGCGAGTCGACATTTTCGTGAATTTTTTAATTCAAGAAATAGAAAAAAGAATTAGATTATATGCCCGGATGTTTTTTCTTTCTTATTCAAATTTAGTTATTATAATTGATATAATTGATTTTTGATGTTACAGACGTGAAATCAGTGTCTAGCAATCCCCTGTTCATCTCGCTTTACATTCTCCTGATGGCGATTTATCGACGCGATTGTCGTAGAACATTCTGCCCGGAAGGTCACTGGTTAGCCAAGTTAAGTATCTTAGCTTACTTAAAATATAAATAATTTTCCTGTCACATATATTATTTCGAAAAGAATGACGAAAAAGAAATATAATTGCATTGTTTTGTTTTCTTGAAATAGGAAGTGCGAGTGTCCGGTTTCTTGGCCGATTTGGAAAAGGGTCGTCGCGGCGCGGCACTTTTGCTCTCAAAGATGCCCCATGTTATCCCCCATTCCGAGCGGGTTGTATTATTTCGCAAGCATATAGCCGATGAGAAAGCGGTGATGGGTTTGACCGAGAGTGCTTGTAACAGTCCACCGACCACGTTAATTGTCGTACACAGGTCTTTTGATACGTCTTTACGATGTAAAAACATTTTCAAATATTTAAAGAATTTCAAAAGAATTTTTACTTTCGTCTTTGGTTGAAAATTGTATGCTTACAAAAAAAATCCTTTCTCTGTAGCAACGATTCCTTGCACACATAATATATACCATACATATAATTATTACTTACTTGATATATTGTTTTATATTGCAGAACACGTATAGTAGAGGATGGATACAGACAATTAGCCATGTTGCCATCGCAAGCGTTGAAAGGCGTGATTAGGGTGCGTTTCGTGAACGAGCAAGGTCTGGCTGAGGCCGGCATTGATCAGGACGGTGTTTTCAAGGAGTTCCTGGAAGAGACAATAAAGCGAGTGTTTGATCCGTCCTTGAACTTGTTCAAAGCTACCAGCGAGAACCGACTTTATCCATCACCCACGTCTTTCATGCAAGACAATCACTTGCAACTCTTCGAGTTCGTTGGGCGGATGCTTGGCAAAGCGGTTTACGAGGTAAATTATATTTCTCTATTGTATCTATAATCGACTAGATTGATCATAAGTATATCTTTTTTTCCTTATTTTTATTATAAAATATTAATAATGAATATAGACAATGATTAGAATGTAACACATTTATAATTTATCTTAATTATTCGTTATTTAGAGATATCTATTATGTATTTATAATTTTGTTAAATGTTGAGCGTGTCAGAGAAAGAAAAAAGGAAAAAAATTATTTCAAACTACTTTCTTCGATGGATCGGTTTTTTTTTTAGGGCATCGTCGTGGATGTGCCTTTCGCGTCATTTTTCGTCTCGCAATTTTCCGGACAAACGGGCGGCGCGTTGTACAGCTGGCTCGACGAGCTCGCCTCGTTGGATCGCGATCTCTACCGCAGTCTGACCTTGGTGAAGCATTACAAGGGCGATATCCGGCAGCTAGAGTTGACGTTCTCGCTCGATGAGGACGTGCTCGGCAAACTGGTCACGCACGAGTTGATCCCTGGCGGACGCACCACCGCCGTGACTAATCAGAACAAGATTCAGTACATCCATCACATGGCGCATTACAGAATGTATCATCAGATCAAGGAGCAAACGACCGCCTTCATCAAAGGATTCCGCTCGATCATTAATCCCGAGTGGCTGTCGTTGTTCTCGACGCCCGAGGTGAGGATCTGAAAGTACAATTTCATTCATTTACACAATATAATTGCGTTGTCGAAATTAAGCAGAGAAAATTCAACTCTAAGTGCACTCATTAATTTCAATGTAAATCGAATAGTTGAACGTGTCTAATTTTAAATAATTACTTACATTATTTAAATGACTATTTGATTGATTAAAATTTAAGTTCTACATTGCAAGAGAAATAAAAGATGTCCTGAAGAAATCGACAAACATATATTATTATTTGTCATTATACACTCAATTGATTAATCGTGTCTTTAACAGTTACAGAGATTAATTTCGGGGGATAATGTTCCTTTGGATCTGCGAGATTTACGAAAACATACGCAATATTACGGCGGATTTCACGACAGTCATCGAGTGGTATGCTGGCTGTGGGACATCCTGGAGAAGGATTTTACAGAAGAAGAAAGAGGCTTGTTTTTAAAGGTTCCTCGAGCACAATACTAAATATACAACTAACAGTTTCTCTAATTAATAATTTAAATGATTTTTTAGATGTGACTTTTGTATAATATCTTAATTTTGCACCAATAATTTTTTTTCTAATAATAATTATTTTTATATGATAGTTCGTGACGAGTTGCTCAAAGTCACCTTTGCTGGGTTTCGCCCATTTAGAGCCACCTTTCTCCATACGATGCGTGGAAGTCTGTGACGATGAGGATACCGGCGACACAATTGGTACAATTGTTACAAATAATTTAGAAAAAAAATTAATTTTTCATAAGCAACCATATATAAAATCGAGAAACTGGAAAGATCTTCGTCTCTTGAATTCTTGATTTTATATAGAGATTTTTGTAATTATCAGCTCTGATAAAAATGAGTGATCAAGACTGCAATTTTATAATTAATATTATAAATAATTATAAAAATTGTCAGTCTCCAGTTTTCTCGATTACATCTCGATTATTTCTCTTCATGGATTTAATTTTTTTTTAATTTCACGAACCAGGCAGCGTGATCAGAGGTTTCTTCACGATTCGTAAGAAGGACCCACAGAACCGATTACCCACCTCGTCCACGTGTTTCAACCTGCTCAAACTGCCAAATTATCAAAAAAAGAGCACACTACGAGAGAAACTGCGCTACGCCGTCACCAGCAACACCGGTTTCGAACTCTCCTAAATCCTACCAGTTGTGTAACTTCAATCTTGAGATGTGAAATAGTGACGAACGAATTTATCAAAATATGTGCGTATTTTTGAAACGAGGTGAGTTTTGATCGGACACGCATGAGATTTCACAAGGTCCGAAAAGTTGGCTGATACGACTGATACCTCAAAAAAAGCCGATTCTGTATAAAGTGATGTCGAGTGGTGTCTAAACTGCTCCCTTATCCCTATTTAGTGCATAATTTACAGACCGATTGAACGCGTGTCGTCGGTTTGAATATTGATTTTCACGGACGATGCTAAGTTTAAGAAAAATCATTAAAATGCATCGCAATCCAAAGACGACATTGCGTTGTTTGGAAATAGATACGGATAGAATTTTGTGAACGTGAGAAAATGTACAATATAAGAATATACATAATAACGAGAGATAACTATTAAGCGCATACGTATACATATATTTAAATGAGTTTCTTGGTACGATGAAAGCTAAGTATTTTAGAAAATAATTTAAAATTTATAGTCACGATGTTCGTTTTCGCGGTACATTTACATAGGCACACATTACCGATGCGAAATACACCGTACCTCATGAGCTTAATCATCGCTGAGATAATCGTGCGCTTGTTAATGGATAGAAACGTTGATCATCATTACATTAAGATCAGGAGTGACGGACATTTTTAAATTTATTTTTATAAGTTTCCACATTAAGGAAATTTATCACGAATTATTCCACTGATTAGTGGGTATTTAATTAAATCTCAAAAATTGAACCAGTAAGTAGAAAAAGAAAAGCTTATCTACACACAATTGTGATTTCGAAAATATGTGATACCTTTTATAAAATTATAAAGCGCATATTAAATTATTAATCATTTAGTGTTACTTCTTATTTCTAATAGAGATTTATAGAAAGCTATTCACAAAATAAAAAATTACTTTATCTAAATATGAGTTCTGAATCGCGAACGTGAGCACGTTTGCGAGTGTTTAAATTTATAATTAAAAAAGATATAAAGGCTGTCATGTATTATTTTTAAACGACAATTTTTTGTCAATTAAGGAAAGTTGTGACTTTCTCAGTAAAAATTTCCTTAATGACATAAGTATATTATGCATCTCAGTCTACATTTGTGTGAACAATTATTTTTTATATCTACAAAAATGTCAAAAAACTTGTTTCTTCTGCTTATTGATCCAATTTAATATGCATATTTCGAGATGTATGGTACATTTATATAAAAAGTTTGCCACTCCTATATTAATAAAGGAAATTTTCCTGAGCTAGGGGAATTATCCTGTCGACGAATCAACGTATGTGCGAAACGAGTGACCGTAAGCAATCAAAAAGAGCGATTTGCAAATTTCTACAAGTTTTTTCCAATATGAAAAAAAAATAAGTCGGGTAAAGGAGACCGCCATCTATTTTAAAAGCTATTTTCTCAAGATTTTTGTACAGACTATTTGACGCGGCGTGCCATCAAATCACAATTTAAAGCACGATTTAAATTAAAAGTGCAAGTCCCACGGGCACAATTTAAAGCACGATTTAAATTAAAAGTGCAAGTCCCACGGGCGCTCGCGAATAAAAAATCCTGGAATTTATTCCGCTCGAAAGAGATTATAAATCTCATCGTACTTTGCGCGGAATAGAGGTTGGAAAGGAAAAAAAAAAGAATTCTTCGAATGTTCATATTAAGAGATCAAAGAGATAAATGTATGTTTTTTTAAAATATTGAAATAATATTTCTTCTATTATCTTCTGTACCTTTTAAATGTTATCGTTTTGATAAATTAAAAAAAAAATTAATAAAAAAATTAAACGTTAGAATTTAATTTAGGACAGTTTGAATGAACTTCAGAATTGTAAACTTAACGAATAAAATTTATGACTTCATAAATAATGTATATACATTTACGACTTCGAATCTTATTATTATCTTATTGCATTTTATATATTTACTGTAACAATTGTTATCTGACAGAAGCTCCAATAATGAAATCGGTTAGTTTCACAATTTTATCTTGTTCAATAACGTTTAAAATAACTTGGCACATTTTATTATAGATTTTTGGTCACGACATAAATTTTTGATATTTAATATCCAGAATTCGTCATTAACGCACGCTGCAAAATTTTTGCAGATGTTTATAAATATCAAAAAAAGAAGAGGGCACAAAAAACCTACAATATCCTGCATGAAAAGGATGAAAAACGAAGTCTAATAATGTAACATTATTTTCTCATGTCTTTCGGAAGACGTAGAGATAAAAAAAGAGAGAGTGTTCTTCTAATAGATAATGCGAGAGTGACGGAAGAATTCGATGATAGACCAAAGATAAAAGCGAACGATTCGAGATGTAATCTTTGCATATTTTCCTACGTGATTCGGCGCGTGTTATAAGCCCGCAAATCTGCGCTCACACAATCGAGACTCAAATTTAAAAAAAGGAAAAAAAATTGAAAAAATGTTGAATCATTATTTTTCGAGAATTAAATTGTGTGAAATTTAATTTTGTGTGAAGTTTGATTTTTATTCTATCGTAGCAGAAAATCCTAAAATTATTGACTTTGATCGAATGTGCAATATATACATATAATATTGTAATTTTAGTCTTGTTATAATTATGTATAATATTTATTACTTTCGAAGGACTATATATATAATTTGATTAGGCCTTATTACATATTTATGTCATATTTATATCTCGATATATAACGCGATAAATATCATTGTGTAGTATAATATACTAATGATTATTATATTCAGTTCTAGAGATTTTGTATGGGCACAGAATTGGCGGTCGCGTATATTTATTAAACCAGAGCGAAATACTCTGGTTCTTGGATATACTCGTTTATAGGAACAATAAGTTTAAGGAACGGCTACTAATGTGTAAGTATAGAAGCGTAAGATTGACGTATTCGAGCGGAAAATTTGCGATTGTAAGACAAATCAGTCTCGCAATAAACGTACGTGAGTTTATGAGGTTTTGAAGTTTTCGCTTAAAAAAGAAAGCGATATGATGATAGCCGTGACGTGAGTTTCTCTTACAATTGCAAAGGCTTCGATTATGCAACGGCCGTTGCACACGTTCGTTTATAATCGATGGTAAATTATTAAGATTCTGTATAAGTAAAAAAAAGGAGATGTTGTATACAGACGAGAAAGAGACAGAGAAAGATCCGCTAATTTCGTACGATGAAGATTGACAAAACCGTGAAAATATATACACACGTCGCAAAAACTGTTTGTGTTTTTTGCGTTGATATTGCATTCCTTTATTATATAACCTTTTCCTCATTTTTATTAAAAAATTTGGCGAAATTTGAATACTAAAATATAAAATTTTTTTTAAACACAACTATTGAGCACGATATTTTTTAATTAACAAAAAATCAACTATATTTGATAAAATAGAAAAGAATTCTATTTTATTATTTATTAGATTAAGTATCTCATTTAGCACGACGCTTAAAATGCATTCGAGATAAAAGAGAATAGTTGTGAATATTACATTTTATTAATAAATTATACAATTGTATGAATTTATTTCCGAATTTTCTTTTAGAATTTATCTTGAAAATCATGTAAATCGTAAGATAATATGGTAATTAACAGAATTTTATAATATAGTGTCTCTTATTAATATTTAGCACAACAAGATAGAAAATATATGTTCGATTAATTTTACTATGTACAAATATTAATATTTTTATTGTGGTAAATATTAATCAGAAAAACTTACAAGATTCTTCCAATATTATATTGTCTTATGATTATTATGATTTTTCAGGGTAAATTCTACGAGAAAATTCTCTGTGTATAAGGAAAAAATTATCTTGTTCTAACTTGTTATAATATTCAATACATGATTGCAATAAGAAAAGACCAGAAAAAATGCAAATCCTGCATTGTGATTTCATTCGTATTGTGAATCAGTCAACAAATAATTGCAAAAGCGATCACATTCCTACGTTACTCCAACATGATCCAGTTTCAGCGCGAAACAACATTTGCATATTCCGCGCATGTGTTCTTAGAATAATAACAATAAAAGGAGAGATTCGCAGTAAAAATACACGCAATTATAACTTAGATAAAAATACAAAAAAGAAAACTCTCTTTTCCGATTCGTTGCTCGCCTCGTTTGAAATATCAAACAAGCACGAAAGAAATAATACAATCAAGGATTGAAAACGCGAGTGAGGAACTGCGGAAGGTGCGTTTTAAAATTTCCTTTTCGGAGCAAAGTAAGTACACGATCGACCAATCGGGACGAGGGACAAAAAAAGTCCTTCGTCCCGATTGGTCGATAAAATAGTCCTAGGTATACTCGAGGAATCGAATTTCGGAACGCGACCCTGCGCGGCGGGCTCCCGCGCAGGGTCACGTGACCGCCTTTGTGCCCGACGCGGTGACGTAGAGCGGCGCGGCCTGACGGTCATCAGTGGCCAGCAAGCCTTGACTGCGGGCAGACGTGCGCATCGTCGGCGGAGCGCGGCTCGATCTCCCGTCGCGGCTACGCGAAAGACTCTCCTTTTTTTTCCCCTCCCTCTCTCTCTGTCTATTGTGTGTATGTGTGTCTCTCTCTCTCTCTCTTTTTCTCTCTCTTTCTTCCACCCTCGATCTCTCTTTTATCCGTCTCTCGTCTATCTGTCAGTTGGTCCCGCGGCGTGTTCGCGCGTGTCGTCGACTCGGTGAGAACGAGTATTTTCCCTCGCGTGTTTCCTGGTGCTTTTGTGGTGCTTCTTTTCCGCGTGTGCGTGCGTGCGCGACACATCGAGAGAGAGAGAGAGAGAGAAAAATTATCGCCCCGTACATAGCGGTGGACTCGTCGACGGAGGCGTCGAGGTGATCGTGGGCTCCACGTTTCTTTCCTCGCAGCGTGTCGTCTACCAAGGGCGCGCGTAGCTCTCCGACACATTTCTCCCACCTCCGATCCCGCATCCTCCCCGGGGGAGCAACCCCCGTAACGCTGTTATGAGGCCCGCCGCCGAGTGCAATTGACGGACGCGCGACGAGACGAGTCGGAGAAGAGTTTGGTGGGGCGGGCCGTGATTGGGAATATGCACGTACAGTGATACGGTGGATGTGTATACTACGTGTGTGTGTGTGTGAGAGTGCGTATGCGTACTTGCGTACGTGCGTGCATGCATGCATGCATGCGTCAAACCTAACCTAAGTGTCGCTAAGCGCCGTTCGCTCTCGCGTTCGTGATATCGGGACGTGACGAAGGGATATATATATATATATATAATAAATATATATTACGTGTATATTAAATCGAGGGCACGCGCGCCGTAGGGTTCGTCGAACGTAGAGACATAATAAGGGTGTCCTCGTCGAGGAGAAGGAAAAGGAGAGACACGTCGCGCATTTACCTCCTCCGCTCAGCTGATTCGTGACAGGACGTCAACAGAGTGAGAAAAAAAAAAAAAAAAAAAAGGAGCGCAACCGACGATCAAGGATATTCCCCTTCGAGGGAGACTAAGAAAAAATCGAAAAAAAAAAAAA